ATGTCACAAAATAAGGACAATCAGGATCCACATAACAAATGTTGAACAAATATAGGGTTATCATATTTGGGCTGCAGAAGCCCAGGGAAACACTATAGTTAGCTTTGTCTCTTTTACTGCCATCTAGAGGTTGTCCAGATACTTTTGTAACCTAACAACTATTAAATGTGCACCACTGTGTTTGATATTTTTAGTACCATTGACTCATTCCTTACAAAGAGCCATTTTTGACATCTATTCTGAAAGAGCCATAAGACTAGATTATGATAGTTCTTCATTTGAGAGCAATAAAATGCACCGATGAATGTTGTTCTGATTGCTTCAGTGAAGCTTTCCTTCTTAAATAATTTTGGTAGTACACTGGCTCTTGCCTGAAATCCCTTCTCCATCTTTAAGCTGTTTTCAACTTCTTGCCTCTAAATTTAGAATAATACATTATTGTACCCTGCTTTTAATAGACACTGGGCAGTTCACATATACTGTTTGCTTATATGATCAGTCGTAACTATCTGTAAATGGGTTAAAATGGGTAGCAAACATTTGGAGCAGGTGAGCATATTTAGAGATTTAGAAGCATGTTATGGGGCTCTCACAAAATGGCTGTCAAAAAGGAAGACTTTGCCTGCTGAGAAGGTGGCTGACATTATGAATATGGATAGTCAAAAAACACCACTGAAGTTATTCCAAATATCCATGCAGGACACTCTCTTCCAGCAACCTCTTTGGGGGAGGGTCTTTTTTACTGGACAAGTGGATACACCAGCAAAGAATGACAGTGGACTATGAACATACATTTATTTCTTTGTTTTCTAGAATTGCCTCTGGGACTTATGCAGGACTCAGAGTCATGCTTGTAAATAAAGATCACACTAGTAGCATGTGTATTTTTCTTTTCAGCATGCAGGCTCATTTATGAATGCGTTTGAAGAATTAGGTAGAGCAGAAAGCTTGGCAAGTGAAAAGCAAGTTGTCTATAGGAACAGTGATGTTGGCTGGCACAATGTTTTCCAGATTCACTACATAGGTAGGTGTGCAGCTGGCCTCTCAGAGACGTCTCCTGTGATAATCTTTTGGAGTTGCTTGCAGAGTAGGACTGGTAAGAGACCATAAATTCAATTCTTCTGGACAAGGAGAATATTCCCATTACAGTTTAATATTAATCCCAGATAGGCAAAAGGTGATAGTTATTGTAAGGTAAGCTTTTAGGCAAGAACACCTTAATAAGTATTTATGTTGACAAATGGAATATACTTATTGGATGATTGTGTATGTGTGGAAACAATTTTTGCAATTATAGTTAATTTGTTCTAAAATAATTATATACAATTCTAGTAGAGAAGTAGCAGTTGCTTACTTGAAAGGAGAAAACAAGGTCTGTATAGTAGTACTTTGGAATGTAAAAGAAATGTGCCACAGATTTTAATTTGCAAATGTTAAAGGCTTTTCCCACAAATGAATACTGTTTCTTAATACTTATGACCAAATGTCTGTCTGTCTGTCTGTCTATTTCTCTATCTAGATTGGTTACTTTTTTAAGAAAATGAGCATACATTTTGGAAAGCTGCATTAAAAATCTCTCTCTCTCTCTCTCTCTCTCTCAGAAAGTTAGAAAGGACAAAAATTACATTTTCTAAGTGTTTTTTGGTTCATAAAAATCAGTAGAATGGAATTGGACTTAAAACCTGTGCAGATGAGGACAGAGCTATATTATTGACCCTTGTTTCATTATGGATTCCTTGTGATATTATTTAGTTTTGTCACTATTTTTGTAGTCAGATCTTACAACAATTAAAAATGATAATCTCACTAGAAGTTTATAAATTGCTTTCAGTGTATTCTGTCTCTTGTTTTTATCTTGTCACATAGGATGCATTTTCAACAGTGGAATACCATCTGCCTAACTTAATTTTTGCAAGGTTCTACTTTCACTATTGGTGCTGACAATAATGCTCTTTAATATCTTGGCTGTTCCATGAAAAACACTAGGAAGTGAAACTAACACTCTTTTTCCTGCTTCAATTTGAATTGCTCTCTGCTGTGTGCAAACAGGGCTGTTAACCTGAACATTCTCCGTTATGTAGGGTATACATGTGAAACCACAAAAATATTCCTGCCTCCTATAGTAGTAATTTCAACAACTTTTTTTTTCTTCCAGTAATTCACTAAGAGCTAAACAAAAAATATTAGATAACATTTTAATAGAGATATAGGCCTTCAGATGTGACATGAATTAATTACAGGGCAAATGTGAATCTTAAACATAACAGTTTGTCATGTAATGTAGGGGAATTCTTCATGATCTCAGCTGCAGATAGTTACAAGTAGCTTAGGAGAAAATACTACTGTGCCAATGAAGCAGTATATAAATATTATGTATGCTCACGAATATATTTTTGCAATCATATGAATTGCATTGTATAATTTATTTCAAAGCCAGTGGTTAAACACTATATAGTCAAAATAGTTTGATATAACTTTGATTTTCCTGAATTACTTTTATAGCTTAATCATCTATAAACATGTCTACAGGTTGAACAGTAAGAAATTACAAGACTGAGATCTGAAGAAGCCTATAAGTCTCCTTCAAGCATTCATCTGGGTAAAAGAGATGCCTTTGAGAGCTTCAAGCTGGGTAGAGAATTGGGATATTAATGCACCTCTGCCCAATCTCTCATTCAGCAGGAAGATCTGAAGGGGATCTCTGTTTGCACTGGATAGCCTTGATAAGACCATATGAGTAGAAAGATGTACTGTAAGGTGTACTGTAGAAGAACAACTGAATACGGACATTCATAATTATATTTTTAAAAATTCCTAGATTTTACTGTTGTTGTACAGGTAGTCTTTGAGTTCTGGCCATTTGTTCAGCGACCATTTGAAGTTACAGTGGTGCTGAATGAATGGTACTTACGCCCAATCCTGGAAGTTACAGCCATTGCAGCATGCCCACAGTCATGTGGTCAAAATTCGGGTGCTTGGTAGCCTGCCTGCACTTACGACTGTAAGGGCGCTTCAACTCCCTCCACCTGCCTATCTCCCCCCATCTCTGCCTTTTTGATTGCCTTGCACAGCGGCTATCCTCGGTGGCGGTTCTGAGGCTGAAGTAGAGGCCTGGAGACTTAAGCCTCCACAGGCCCTGCCGCACCCAGCTGACCTTAGCCGTCTTCCTCCCGCTGGTCATGAGGCAAGCCTGGTCTGGCCCTATGTGAGGCAGCTGCTGGCCACACCAGGCCTTCTGCTGCTGGCCATGAGAACAGGGCATGCTATTCAGAAGCTGAGGCTTTCTAGAGCATCATGAGAACGGCGTACCTGCTATTCTCCAAATAGCATGCCCTGTTCTCATGATGCTTTAGAAAGCCTTCAGAAAGGTTCTGAGGACTTCCAAAGCATCACAAGAAAGGGGTGCACTATTTGGACAACAGTGCAAGTGGCCTCGGGAAGAAGGCCTGGTGCAGCCAGCAGCTGCCTTGCATAGGGCCAGCCTGGGCACGCCATCAGCTGGATGCAGTAGGTCCTGCAGAGTGCAGGATGGCAGGGGCTGCGCTGTGGTGCTGTGGTGGCTGGCTGCGATGCAGGGCTTGAGGCTCTCTCAGTGGTGGCACTGAGGCTAAAGTTGAGGCCTGGGGACAGTGGTGGTTAGCTAAGACTGCTGAAAACCCTGGGCCTCTACTTCAGCCCCAGCACTACTGGCGCTGCCACTGCTGCTGTAGAATACCGCTGTGCAGGGTGACCAAAAGGGCAGAAAGGGGTAGGAGATAGGCTTGTGGTGGTGGGAGCTGAAGAGGAGACAGTCCCTTACCTTACTGAGGCTCAGGGCTGGGAGAGATCAAGCTGGGAGTGGCTTGGATCAGGTGGATCCTTGCCTAACAACCAGTGGGATGCAGTTAATGATGTCAATGCTGCGTGCTGGGATTACCGTCACTAAGCGATGCAGTCACGTGATGTTTCACCTAATGACCACATTGCTCAACATTGGAAATTCTGGTCCCAGTTACCATCATAATTCGAAGACTACTTTTATTAACTACATTAACTGGACTCTAGAAACATTCATCAGAATTGTGTATTTTGTAGTTTTAATCTGAGAGTTTTCTTAGTTTACATACAGAAGAGCTCTACCATACAAATCATGATGCATTATTCTTTGTATAGGAGATATCAATGAAATTATGTGCTTTTTATCCAGTAATATGATTAACAAAGTTGAACATTAAGGAGTATATTAGATAACAAAGGCATTATACCAAACCCATGTAATGTTGGGGTCCAGTGTGATATAACTGAGTAAGTTGCTCAGTATAGTAGCAGCTCTACTTAATAGATCTACTTGTAATTTTAAAAACAGTTAATAGGGTTTGCTAATAAAAAAACACCTACTTAAAGTTCTCTCTTCCCTACTTCTCTATTGAGAGCTCAACATGAATTGTAGAACGAGATTAGCCTTACATGTTTTTATAGGGGGCATGGTGTTTTAAAATATGATGTATCAAGTTCCACATTTTTTCGCTATCATATGAGCATGCTTGTCTGCATTTCCTTGGAATAATAAGAGAAAAAGGTAAAAGTGACTGTTTGCATAAAGAATTTCTTTAAGGTAAAATAAAGAATTAGAAGTGAAATTGGGCATACTCTTGTGCATACCTGATAACAGGAGACAAGCTGTTTGTACAATGTGACATCCCTCTTGACTAGACTATGGGTGGAAGGGCAAAAGGTGTGGAATGTCTCTGTCTATTATGGAAAAAAGGAAATGACCGTCTGTGCTTTTAAACTGTAGACTCAATATATCCAGCTGACAGTCTGGTTAACAAGCATTGAAGTACAAAGGCCATGAAGCTGAGAATGGTTAGTTCTTAATTTTAAAGTAACTTGGCACTGGCCGTACAAATTCCCTTTCTTCTTTTTCTCCCCCTTTTCCTTTCTGTTTTTCTTTTTAAAGAATAGTTATGTGGTTTATAATTTGGCTACTTTTTAACTGGTAACTTTCTGCTTTATTTCAGAAGTGTGTTTTCAGAAAACATTGGCTCTGAAAGAGTCCAGAAAGAAGTAAATCAAGTTGGTGCATAGTGAGTCATTGGCTCAGCTTGAAAGTGCTTTCATGACTTGACACTGGGCCCACAGTCACCCTACATTCCCTGCAGCCAAGCAATCTGCAGCTGAGCGATGGGCCAAAAAATCTCAGGGAGCATAAAGTCTGTGGATGTTCGGGATCCCCCTTATAGACCAGTTAAACGAGAACTGAGGGGACCAGATTTCTGCAAGCCTGCACGATTGGATATGTTGCTGGATATGCCCCCAGCCCACTTGGAGGTCCAGTACAAACATGCTTGGAACAATGAAGATCGATCCTTAAATATATTTGTGAAGGAAGATGACAGATTAACCTTTCATAGACACCCGGTTGCCCAAAGCACAGATTGCATCAGAGGAAAAGTTGGCTATACAAGGGGACTGCATGTTTGGCAGATTCACTGGCCCACCAGGCAACGAGGAACACATGCTGTAGTTGGGGTCTCAACAGCAGAAGCTCCTTTGCATTCTGTAGGATATACATCATTGGTTGGTAGCAATAGTGAATCATGGGGCTGGGACCTTGGACGGAACAAACTTTATCACAACTGCAAAAACCAGCCTGGAGTGACCTATCCTGTGTTTTTGGAACCAGATGAGTCTTTTGTACTTCCAGATTCCTTATTGGTGGTTTTGGATATGGATGAAGGAACCCTTAGCTTCATCGTGGATGGACAATACCTTGGAGTGGCCTTCAGGGGCTTAAAAGGGAAAAAACTGTATCCTATAGTCAGTGCGGTGTGGGGGCACTGTGAAATAACAATGAGATATATCAACGGGCTTGATCGTAAGTGTTTCATTAGCATTTTTATTCTTTTCAGAATATGTAAAGGTACTTGTTACGTTGCCAGGCTGACTTTGTCTCCAAATTAAATGGACTGACAAGGCAAAAGTGCACCTGCTATTCTATATCCTTCTGACAAAGTATTTCCAGGGTTGATGGTTGTGTTGATAGCTGCACTTTCAGCTGCGGGAAAATAGGAACTAGTTTTTGCTGTTTTCTCTTTAGTATGTATGTGTGACTCATCTAAGGAGCCAAAATAGAATGAATATGTTCTGTCTTTAGTTTCTTTGAAGAATTCTGCAATATTAAATATTATGAAAAATTGTAACACAAATCCTGTTGATATCCCAGAGTAAATGGCTTTGAAAAATTATATCTATCTTTGGGATTCAAACTTAAGAACTAGATTGATTGATTCAGGAAGCTTTCGAGAACCACTCCTAAGTATATGCTTAAAGGTTATGTTGCATCTGTGGCTTTGCCTTACTTTCTTTTTACTTTACACACACAAAAAATGGTAGACAGTGGGGGTGGGTTTTGTAAGAGTTAAGTGTCTGCAATATACACTGCGTGCACAATTATTAGGCAAGTTGTATTTTTGAGGATGAATTTCATTATTGAACAACTACAGTGCTCTCAGTCAATCCAAAATGTTAATAAACTTCAAACCTGAATATCTAAGAC